ACGTCTCTCAAGACGGCTAAACCCGAATGATTCTAGTTCTAGGTCTTGTATTAGTTCTAGTGATAGTGTTAGTGCAAAACTAGAACTAACACTAGACCTAGAACTAGAAACATTTGGGTTTAGCCGCACGTCTCTCAAGACGGCTAAACCCGAATGATTCTAGTTTAAGGTCTTGTATTAGTTCTAGTGATAGTGCTAGTGCAAAATTAACTAACCCGAATGATTCTAGTTTAAGGTCTTGTATTAGTTCTAGTGATAGTGCTAGTGCAAAATTAACTAACCCGAATGATTCTAGTTTAAGGTCTTGTATTAGTTCTAGTGATAGTGCTAGTGCAAAATTAACTAACCCGAATGATTCTAGTTTAAGGTCTTGTATTAGTTCTAGTGATAGTGCTAGTGCAAAATTAACTAACCCGAATGATTCTAGTTTAAGGTCTTGTATTAGTTCTAGTGATAGTGCTAGTGCAAAATTAACTAACCCGAATGATTCTAGTTTAAGGTCTTGTATTAGTTCTAGTGATAGTGCTAGTGCAAAATTAACTAACCCGAATGATTCTAGTTTAAGGTCTTGTATTAGTTCTAGTGATAGTGCTAGTGCAAAATTAACTAACCCGAATGATTCTAGTTTAAGGTCTTGTATTAGTTCTAGTGATAGTGCTAGTGCAAAATTAACTAACCCGAATGATTCTAGTTTAAGGTCTTGTATTAGTTCTAGTGATAGTGCTAGTGCAAAATTAACTAACCCGAATGATTCTAGTTTAAGGTCTTGTATTAGTTCTAGTGATAGTGCTAGTGCAAAATTAACTAACCCGAATGATTCTAGTTTAAGGTCTTGTGTTAGTTCTAGTGATAGTGCTACTGCAAAATTAAAACTAACACAAGACCTAGAATTAGAATCATTCGGGTTTAGCCGTCTTGAGAGACGTGCGGCTAAATAGTAGTTCTAGGACTTGTGTTAGTTCTAGTGATAGTGCAAAACTAATCTAAAACGTGTAGTAAAAGTGTAGTTCAATAAAAATGTGTAACATATTTAAAAAAATTTCTCATTCTAGGTCTAGTGTTAGTTCTAGTCCTAGTGTTAGTCTAGTTTTATTTGTTATTCAGCACTAAATTATTGTATATTTTTATTGAGCTATAACAAACACCGTATTAATCGAGGTTTTACTATAACGTCAAATTATATTATTAGATTTAATTCTTTATTTAATTTTTGTTAGTTTGCGCATGCGATTCAAATATGTATTGATTATTGTTGAAAGCTTGACTTTGAGGAGGTGAGCTTGAAAGCTCACTCGCAGTTGGATGCGAGAATTGAAGGAGAATTGTGGTATGCACACAACTTTTCCTACACGTTTGTTGAATTGGTTCAAAACGCGATCATAAAATGGTAAGAAAATTGTGTATTTATAATAAAATTTGATTTGAAAATATTTTTTTGTAATTTTCAGTACGGTTTTGTAAACTACGCGTTGGAATTGCTCGTAATTAAAACGTTTGGAGAGGAAATTTGGGAGAAAATTAAGTTGGGTTGATGAAAACGTTATAACGATTCAAATAAATTCGACTGTTCATTTTGTAGGAAAGATGCTGAAGTTCAAATGGAAGGGCAATTTTTGGTTCGGCAAATATACGAAGATGAGTTAACTTATAATTTAATTTCTTCGGCTGTTGATATTTTAAGTTGGCACAAATTTTATTTACGTTATACAGAAATAACTAATTTGTGATTTCCAGATATTCCAGCAACTGCAATTTTGGAATTGTTTGGAAAAACATTTTTCGAATTCTGCCAAGACTCCGGTTACGATAAAATTTTACAAGTTTTAGGAGCCACACCACGAGATTTCTTACAGGTAATTAATTAAGTTACATAATGAGACGAATAATATTTAATTTCAGCCGCTGAAATGTTTTTCTTGGAACCATTTCATTTTAAAATAAATATTTAGTTGAAAACGTTTAATTTATATTGCAATTAATCTTAAATAATAGATTTAACTTGTCTTTTCGAGGTAGTATTTACGAACAATCATAACAACGTTTGTTTCTAAACAAAGTTTAATAAACGAGCTCTTCATCTGTAGATGTAGGCAACCACTTTAACATCAGATGCAAATTAGTTGTAAATGAATCTATAATAGACCAAGTAATGACGTTTAACTATCTGGGGGTGGAAACATCTAGCAATAGGAGTCTAATGGATGAAATTGAGTAAACATTCTGTATAAGGTTATCCAACTCCATATGAACGCTGTTGTTATGAACGTATCCACCCGCAAAGGCCTTGCTGTGACGTCATTGGAAGAATTGACATTTCTATGTTTTTATTTATACAGTGTTTTTCAATTAAGAAGCAATACACAAAAATATAAAAATATTAAAAAAAATATTAAAATATAAAGCGAAATATTAAGACTTATAATTTTATTATTGTTAGGTTATCCAACTTGACTCGGTTACCATGGTGATTAAGATCCAAATATTGCAGGTGCTTGTCAAAATTGAAATTGAATTTAAGTTCTTTTAAGGAAAAAGTCTTATTTAATTGGTTTAAAAGGCTGTATTTAACTCAAAATTGGTTTATTTAGGGAATTATAAACAAGGTAAGTGGTTTAAATCATAAAAAGATATTTTTAATTTATCTCTCGTAATTAGAATCGATTTAAATTAATTACAATTAACGAATTTGTTATGAATGCAAGATAATCGTAAAGAATTCGAATTGTTTTAAAATTAATAAAAATTAGGTTAGAATTGATAAAAAAATCGAAATAAAATTTTATTATTTTAAGGTTATCCCACTTAACTCGGTTACCATGGTGATTAAGATACAAATATTGCAGTTGCTTGTCAAAATTGACGTTGAATTTAAGTTTTTTTAATGAAAAACACATAGTTAATTGAAAATATTAAACAACTTTTGTATAAAATGGTTTTTTATAAAGTTGATACCAAGATATATACTATATTCCATACATAATGGGCCTCCAATGACGTCACGTTTCCTACTTCACCAGTCAATGTCAATTTGTTCGAGTTGGATAACTTTATAACCAATACTCAACGGACCTTGAGTCTGAATATTATACAAGACCTGTACTCATCTATGCGCATGAGCCATAATAAGGACTAAAAAAACGGGAACTTTAAGAAATGGAACAATGTTGATAGAATGAGCCCGACACGAATTGCTAAAAGACCCAACCCAATCGAACTGAACCTAACTAAGAGACGAGTTGGAATTCCGGCCAAACGCTACACAGCTTCATTACAAAAAAGAATGATACAGAATAATCAGAACTTGGCCCAATAGCAAGAAAAGGAGCTTTTATTGAAATACAACTCATTTAGTGTGATTCCAAACCTCGTCTTATACTTGAAGTGTAACTTAACACCTCGTAGTGAACTTTGAGCAGTGTAATTCCTCCATGTTGTGACATTTAGTTTCTGGGCAGTGTAATTTCAGACATCTAACTAAGTCTAGAACCTGTAATCTATTTGGTGTGATACCAAACTTCTTCTTATACCTGAAATATAACTACTTCCTCTTTTGTTGTTGAATTTCTGACTATCTTTTCTGGTCCTACCTATTATTTGCCTTAAGCACCACATTTCTGGAGCTGTTACTTTGCTCTTCTGCTAATCCTGCATTGGACAAGTTTCCATATTGGTGGTTTCCTGTCCTATGCAATAACCAAACAAGTCCATTGGTTTCTTGTTCATATTCTTCGCATTTTGTTTCTTCTGAACAGTAATTTCAAAGTCTGGTCTTTCACCAGTATAATTCTTAATTTTTTGCTAAAATATGGATTATGATCATTTCAGACTTTTTTTAAGTCTAGTCTGATATCTTTAAAGTTGTATTTTTAAATTAATTTCCACAACCATAAAAAATAATAATAATATTAATACGAACTTTTTTTAAGAATTTAGATGCTCTTCACGATCATTTAGGAACTTTATACCCTGGAATGAAAGCGCCATCATTTCGATGTACGGAAAGACCAGAAGACGGAGCTTTAGTCCTTCATTATTATTCAGATCGACCAGGTTTAGAACATATTGTAATTGGAATTGTAAAGGTAATAAAAAAACATTTTTTTTTAATTTAGTATTAATAATTAAAAACTTAGGCTGTTGCGAGTAAACTTCATAACACCGAAGTTGATGTTCAAATCCTTCTAACGAAACAAGAAGGAGATCACGTCCAATTCGTTATAACGGAAACGTCCGCTCCTAAAAGACAGCAATTACCGGAAATTGAAGAAATCGAAACATTATCTTTAGGTAAGAATGATCTTTTTTTTTGTAATTTGATTTTAATTTTTAATTTTTGATTTTTAGAACCAAAATTAAGCACTGCAACGTTTTGCCACATTTTTCCTTTTCATATAATGTTCGATAGGGATTTGCAAATCGTTCAAACTGGCGATTCCGTAGCGAGAGTTATTCCGCAAGTTTTATTATCCGGTTGCAAAGTAACCGATGTTTTGGATACGGTAAGAAAATAATCTTATAGAAATTAATTTCTCTTCGCTGTATCTAAATAAATTAAAGAGACACCATCTGGTACACTCTCGTGTTTTCTCATTTAAACTTTTCGTATCGTTTCTGTAACATACAAAAGAACGAAACCGGCACAGATCCATACGAAACGAGTCTCTTCTATTACATATTTTCTAGGTCCGTCCCCATTTAGATTTTACATTCGCCAACATCCTTTCGCACATCAACACGATTTACGTTTTAAAAACTCGACCAGGAGTGATGTGTGTCGATGATAACACCACCATGGAATATCGCACTTTGCGTTTAAAGGGACAAATGTTGTATGTTCCCGAAACGGATTTAGTTATTTTTTTGTGTTATCCAAGCGTTATGAATCTCGACGATTTAGTCAGGTAATAAAAACCGAAGAAGAAATTTATCTTTAAGTCATGGTTATTTTTAGACGGGGTCTTTTTATCAGCGACATTCCTATTCATGACGCGACGAGGGATTTGGTGCTTATGTCTGAACAATTTGAGGCTGATTATAAACTAACTAGGAATTTAGAAATATTAACCGATAAACTTCAACAGACTTACAGGGAATTGGATAGTGAGAAGAAAAAAACTGATAGGTGAATTAATTAATTAATTTTTTTTTGGTGAATTTATTCGAAAATTATTTTCTTTTAGATTGTTGTATTCGGTTTTACCGATTAGCGTTGCAAACGAATTGCGTCATAAAAGACCGGTTCCAGCGAAACGTTTCGACTGTGTCACTTTACTGTTCAGTGGGATCGTTGGGTTTGCTAAATATTGCGCGAGCCACTCAGATTCAAAAGGTGCCATGGTTATTGTTAAGATGTTAAATGAATTGTACACGGAATTCGATGAATTAACCGATCCCAAACAAAATCCTAATGTTTATAAAGTAAGAATAACATATAGGGAAGGAAATAATGCCTTGAACTAAAACTAAAAGTAACACTAGAACATATAACATTACACCTAGAACAAGAAATATTAACTTGATGTTACACATTAAGTTAAGAGATTGAAACCGAGGTCGCTTGCGACCGAGGCAGTAGTTTGATCATATTTTATGTGTTAGTTTATCGATTGTATACGACTTATGAGACTAAAGCCGAGGTCGCTTGCGGCCGAGGCAGTAGCTCGATCATGTTTTATTATTAGTGTTTCGATTGTATACGAGTTATGAGACTAAAGCCGAGGTCGCTTGCGGCCGAGGCAGCAGCTCGATCACGTTTTATTTTTAGTTTTTCGATTGTATACGAGTTATGAAACTAAAGCCGAGGTCGCTTGCGGCCGAGGCAGTAGCTCGATCACGTTCTCTTTTCAATTTGTCGATTGTATATGAGTTATGAGACTAAAGCCGAGGTCGCTTGCGGCCGAGGCAGTAGCTCGATCACGTCCTCTTTTTAGTTTTTCGATTGTATACGAGTTATGAGAAGAAAGCCAAGGTCGCTTGCGACCGAGGCAGTAGATCGATCAACGTTGCTTATACAGTCATTGGTTGAGAATAAATGGAAATGTATCAACGCAAATAAACCAGAGGGAATTAATTTAACAGGAAACAGAAATAGTAATTAAAACATCGTTAAAGTTACGACATGTAATATATATTTATGCTTACTACAGGAAATTAAATTGCGTATTGTTTCTATTCAATTTACAAAATTTAAGATAAACAAGATCAAACGTTTTACCCCGTGGAAGGTGATAGTGGTGACCTCCAACCTCATTGGGTCGAGAAAATCTTGATACATCGAAGACTGCGCAGCAGATTGAATATCGAGTATCATTTCTACTAAATTTATTTCGGGTCAACTTCACTTGAATAAAATACAGATAAAATGTGATATAAATATCACAGTATTTCCCACGAAATTGTAACTTTTCCAGGAATTCAGCAGTTTAGTATCCATTATTATGGGAAGATGATTTGTATTCGTTCAATGAACAATGAGAACATTGTTACATATATCATACAGAAATTTGTGTTTAACAAGAAAATTGTAATAAATTTCACGAACATGTTTGTAATTCTTTTTTAAAAGATGTAAATTCCGACGATTACTGATGTTTTTGTTAAAAATCTATTCTATAAATCATTATGGTCTATTTATAATGATGACCTTAAGCTGAGGTTGGAATGGATACAATCCCAATCAGTTTTCTTACGACTCTATCGGTTTATTATCATTGTTATTACTTTGTTAATAGTTTCTACTTATCAATTTCAAGCCTTCTCAAGTTTTTATTATCAGTATCCAGTTTTTAAAAGCAAAATATAGTTTTCTGCAAGCAACATTTGGTTTTTGTCAAGCATCATACAGTGCTTTGATCTCGTTTAAGCAGTATCTACTTTTTTTTAAACAATATCTAGTCTTTTATAAGCAGTAGCTAGTCTTGTCCAAACAATATCTTCTCCAAGTAATATCAAGTCTATTGCAAGCAATGTCTAGTCTTTTGCAAGCAGTATATAATCTTTTACAAGCATTATCTAGTCTTCTCCAAGCAATATCTTGTTTTCTAGCTAGAATCCTCCAAGAGCAACGATTTGGTATTCATCTATTGACTCCACCGTCTTGCACACAAGCGACATTGGCGATGCTATATAACATCGTTCATTTGATGTAATGCAAAGTAAACCAAGCAAACAGCATTTTAATTTACGCCCCCATCGCCGAGGTTGGTTTTTTTTTGAACCTCAATTATAGCGTGAAGGAATGTTATAATAGGTCAGTTTTGTATTGAAACCTCAATTATAGCATGAAGAAACTGCAATTATAGCATGAAGAAACTGCAATTATAGCGTGAAGGAATGTTAGGATAGGTCAGTTTTGTTTTGAACCCCCAATTATAGCGTGAAGGAATGTCGGTTTTCTTTTGAACCCCAATTTTAGCGTGAAGGATAAATTTAAATTCTTAAACCCATCTCAGCGATTTTTCCATAAATTTATTCCGAATTTATCCGTTAATTTTGGGAAGCCCTGTATAATTATATTGACGTCTCGTGATCTTTAGTTTCGTAACTCATAGTAACATTGAGATTTGCTCTCGGCCGGAATCAACTTCCGCTTCAGTTTCTTATCTCGTGATAACATCGAGCTACTACCTCGGCCGCAAGCGACCTCGGCTTTTCTTTTCTTAACTTGTGACAGCAGGCAGCGAGAATATACATATATCTACTGAAACCCAGGTCATACAATCGAAAAAGTAAAAGTAAAACGTAATCGAGGTACTGCCTCGGCCGCAAGCGACCTCGGCTTTAGTCTCATAACTCAGGATAACATTAAGGTGAATCCTCTGCCATAATTGATTTCGAATTCAACCTTTTAAATCATAATAAGGCCATACAATTGATAAACTTACAAATAAAATGTGACCAAACTACTGCCTCGGCCGCAAGCGACCTCGGCTTTAATCTCATAACTCAGGATAACATTAAAGTGAAGCTTCGGGCAGAATCGACTTCGAATTAAATCTCCTAACTTATGATAAAGCTATATAATCGATAAACTTACAAACAAAATATGATCAAACTGCCTCGGTCGCAAACGACCTCGGCTTTAGTATCATAACTTATGATAATGTTTCTAGTGATAGTGCTAGTATTAGTTCTAGTTTTAGTTCGATTAACGCCAACCGTGAAAGCTTTCGTACTTACATAAATAAATTCTTATTTAACGGTTGAATATCAATTCATAACGAGGAGATTAGTGAAAGTTATAAAACGTTTCTAGTTTCTACGTAACAATTTTTTTATGCACTTTGTATTTTCGCGGAAGTCTAAGATTTAAAATCAAATTCTTTATTTATTAATCTTTATCAAGGTAGAAACTGTTGGTGATAAATACATGGCTGTTAGTGGCCTCCCAGAACCATGCTCAACCCACGCAAGAGACATGGCGAGATTAGCTTTGGATATGATGGATTTGGGTAAAAAAGTCATGATCGACGGCGAAACTGTGGTTGGTTATACTTAAATTTAATTAAATTGATTTAATAAATTAATTTTAATTTTTATTGTAGAGAATTACAATTGGAATACATTCCGGAGAAGTTGTAACTGGGGTAATCGGTCATCGAATGCCTCGTTATTGCCTCTTTGGAAACACGGTAAATCTAACGAGTCGAACTGAAACAACGGGAGAACCAGGAAAAATAAACGTTTCTGAAGACGCTTATAAGTAAATACAATTAATTTTTAATCCTCCATAATATCCAAGTATCTAAACAAAATCTTAGGAATAGGAAGTTTTCGAATCCCTCCAGGAAGCTCGTAATTCTCCCACAATCTTTTTCTAATCACACATCGACACAAATGTTTTAATTCCGCCGGAATCAATCCACACCTCGTAGGGGGAACAACCCCATGAGTAATTAATTCGGAGTAATCCTCAATTAAATCATCTTTTTCGAAACTCCTCGGTAAAACTCGTAATAAAATTTGTAAGCAAGCAACGAAATTATAAGGGTACTTCCCTTTAAATTCACTTAATTTATTAATTAACCACATCAAAACATCATCATCATCGTTTTTATTAATCGTGGCACCGTATCGAAGTAAAATTAACATCTTATCCGGTAACCCTAGTTGTATCGAAATTTTTAAAGGTGTCATCTTCCCGCAACTCTCAATTGGGACATCGATAAACCTTAATTTTTCGATTAAATATTCGTATTCTAACGAAGCGTTCGTGGCGTGATCCAAATAATAAACGACGGCTCTTAAATTTTCTTCTTGATCGCGAAAATCGCTTTTCCAGCCGGCGATATAAAAGGGGGCCCTGGTTCCAAATAAAGCCCCGATAAAAATTCGTTCAAACGTATGTTCGCAACTAAAAATCGCGTCTAATAACGTCGCAACCATTTGGGTGTCTTTTAATTCCCAATCGTAACATAATTTAATGGCGATATACAAGATGTCGTGGTACTTTCCCATTAAACACACGTTGCCGTTCTCTCTACGTGCTTTTTCGTGGAAACGAAGTATTTCTCGTATCGCTTCTCTAACAACTTTCTCCGATGATACATTTTCACCTTAAGAGGAAAAGAAAATAAATGGGATCTGTTTTATTTAATCGTTTGAGTTATTTAAAATTACCTAATCGACAACCTTCTATGAGCGTATTAAAATATTCCACCATCACCTGTCTCTTGTATCTGGCGTGGAGACTGTTACGCTCTGATTCTGAGAACTTTTCAAAAAAATAACTCAATAATGCTTCCATTTTAGAACACACAAAGAGTACATTTAGAACAAAAATCAACTAAAACTACGTGTCATTGAATAATTTGATTATTCGTCGAGGGAAACCTTGTCATGGTTACAAGATTAAAAGATTAAAGATTTTTTTATTTTATTTTTTTAGGTTTTTGTGTAAAGAGGAAAATCACGACGATAGTTTTCATTTCGAATACCGAGGACCGATCGCGATGAAAGGAAAAGCGGAAGCGATGAATGTTTGGTTTTTAACAAGAGTTAAAGTTTAGGATTTAAAGTAGAAAGGTAAATATCTGTTTAAACTGTTCTTTAAACTTTCTTTACGTTTATTTATTTTAAATTTTCTTGCAATTTCACGGAATGTTTTGCAATTTTCTCATAAATAATTATTAATATCTTGAATCATTAACTCAAGTTAGTATAAAACCGGAGGTGTAATACTTTTTATCATGACGCATAGATGAAGCCTGTCCTAGATATTCTCCTTAATTTTTCATGTCATTTCCGGTTTAATGGCAGTCACGTTCTGCCAAATTTAGCAACGGTGAAATAAACTGTTACATAGAGGTTCTAAGTTGTCGTTGGTAAAGTTCCCGAGTTTTTTCTACTGCTCAATAGTGAAAATTAAGTATGGATTGTATGTGTAAGGGTTCTTCTCGCACTCTTATCAAACAATGAGGAAAGCTGCACAATGATTTCAAAATCATCATTCTCTCACAACATCGTTCCTGATACATTTCTACTTTAATCCAATATAGTACTTGATATAGCAGAGTATCGTCTTGCTCCATATAGTCTCTAAAATTTCTCAACCTCGTTTCTGGCTAACCTCATTAACCTCATTTACTGTCTGATATTCCACGATGTCATTCAAGATAAATCGGGCCACAGTACGTTGACAAGTTTGAGGTTGATATATGATAATTACTGAACCTCGGCCACAAACGACCTCGGCTTAATTAGTAAAAGATCTACAACAGTAGCCGATAAAGCCAAGGCCTCTTGTGGCGAGGAGCCATAGTATGTTGACCAGTTTGAGATTGATATATTGATAATTACGGAGCCTCGGCAACACGCGACCTCGGCTTAATTAATAAAAGATCTACAACTTTAGCAGAGAAAGCCGAGACTGCTCGCAGACGATGCCTGACACTATGTTGACAAGTTTGAGGTTGACATCTTATTAATCACTGAGCCTCGGCCGCAAAACCTCCGCAAACTTCTGTTGATAAAGCCCAGACCGTTTGCAGCCGAGGCGCAGCAATGTGGTGATCAACTTTAGGTTGATATGACATTAATTGACTAGTAAAAGATCTACAACTTCAGCTGATAGAGCCGCAAGCGACCTCGGCTTAATTAGTAAAAGATCTACAACGGCAGCTCATAAAGCTGTGTTGACAAGTTTGAGGTTGATATCTTATTAATCACTGAACCTAGGCTGCAAGCGACCTCGGCATAGTGAGCAAAAGGTCTACAACTTCAGTTGATAAAGCCCAGACCGCTTGCGCCGGAGGAACAGCAATGTGGTGATCAGTTTTAGGTTGATATGACATTAATTGATGGGCCTCGACCGCAAGCAACCTCGGCTTAATTAGTAAGAGATCTACAACTTCAGCTGAGAAAGCCGATGCCTCACAGTATGTTGACAAGTTTGAGGTTGATATCTTATTAATCACTGAACCTCGGTCGCAAGCAACCTCGGCATAGTTAGCAAAAGATCTACAACTTCAGTTGATAAAGCCCAGACCGCTTGCGGAGTAGGCACAGCAATGTGGTGATCAGTTTTAGGTTGATATAACATTAATTGATAATTGATATCAGTTTTAGGTTTATATGACATTAATTGATAAGCCTCGATAATTAGTAAAAGATCTACTAGTTCAGCCAATAAAGCCGAGGCTTGCAGCCGAAGCACCACAGTATGCTGACAAGTTTGAGGTTAATATATGATAATTACTGAACCTCGGCCACAAGCGACCTCGGCTTAATAAAAGATCTGCAACGTCAGTTCATAAAGCTGAGGCCACTTGAAGACGAGGCGCCACAGTATGTTGACAAGTTTGAGGTTGATATATGATAATTACTGAACCTCGGCCACAAGCGACCTCGGCTTAATGGCTAATGGCCGAGGTATTACAGTATATTACCACCGATGATTAGTTGACCAGATGATCAGGTTGATATTTCCTAGGACGTTTGAGGTTAATATATGATAATTAATGAACCTCGGCCACAAGCGACCTCAGCTTAATTAGTAAAAGATCTACAACGGCAGCTCATAAAGCTGAGGCCACTTGCAGCCGAGGCGCCACACTATGTTGACAAGTTTGAGGTTGATATCTTATTAATCACTGAACCTAGGCTGCAAGCGACCTCGGCATAGTGAGCAAAAGGTCTACAACTTCAGTTGATAAAGCCCAGACCGCTTGCGCCGGAGGAACAGCAATATGGTGATCAGTTTTAGGTTGATATGACATTAATTGATGGGCCTCGACCGCAAGCAACCTCGGCTTAATTAGTAAAAGATCTACAACTTCAGCTGAGAAAGCCGATGCCTCTCACTATGTTGACAAGTTTGAGGTTGATATCTTATTAATCACTGAACCTCGGTCGCAAGCGACCTCGGCATAGTTAGCAAAAGATCTACAACTTCAGTTGATGAAGCCCAGACCGCTTGCGGAGTAAGCACAGCAATGTGGTGATTAGTTTTTGGTTGATATGACATTAATTGATAATTGATATCAGTTTTAGGTTGATATGATATTAATTGATAAGCCTCGCCCGCAAGCGACCTCGGCTTAATTAGTAAAAGATCTACTAGTTCAGCCAATAAAGCCAAGGCTTGCAGCCGGAGCGCCACAGTATGCTGACAAGTTTGAGGTTAATATATGATAATTAATGAACCTCGGCCACAAGCGACCTCGGCTTAATTAGTAAAAGATCTACAACGGCAGCTCATAAAGCTGAGGCCACTTGCAGCCGAGGCGCCTCAGTATGTTGACAAGTTTGAGGTTGATGTATGATAATTACTGAACCTCGGCCACAAGCGACCTCAGCTTAATGGCTAATGGCCGAGGTACTATAGTATGATGATTAGTTGACCAGATGGTCAGGTTGATATTTCCTAGGACGTTATTTACATTTTGAGATCATCAATAAACTTCTCCTAAACTTTCTCAACTTAAATTTTAAGTTTTTAAACATAACAAAAAATTGTTTGCTTTCAACTTGAAGGATACATTTGTCGACAAAAGTGTTCTAGATAGGCTAATACCTAGTGGTGAGGTTGCGGTAACCCTAAGTAGGCTTGGCCCACTTATTTTACCCACCTAAGAGTTTTATTTCAAAGTATGCACTCTGATAATTGTTGATATTCAAATTCGTTTTGCCAAATCATTAAAAGTATGCATCTCTTCTTTCTGTTACTACGATAAGAGCTAAGTCAAAGCTGAAATTTTTACAAATAATTTGTATTTATTTCAGTAGTAAATCATAACAATTGAAAAATAAAATACCAACAATTTATGTCAATAAAATGTTACATCACCACGATTATTTATGCATTGTCTAACTCTACGAGACATGCTCTGAATGAGATAATCAATGGTATCTTATGAAATCTCATCCCAGGCTTGCTGTAGATGACGACGAAGTTCCTGCAAGGTGTTTGCTGATTACAATGCTCGATCGGGTTTAAATCCGGAGAGTGAGGAGGCCAGGGGTGAATTTATACTCTTTCTTCATGTAGGAAGTTTTGGCAGATGTGGACGATATGAATTCGGGAGTTATCTTGCTAGAACATGATGTCAGGGCGTTCGTGCATGTATCGGCGTGTATTTAAACTTTAAGGAATAACAACAAGAGGACAGTTAATCCTTAACGATATGGCACACCATACCATAATACCAAATGTTTGGCCGCCGTGGCCTCAAATGGCAAAATGTCTTTCTTGGCACCATAGAAGTCTGCCTCTAAATTCTAATACTTTCAAGTATAACACAAAAAAAGAAAAATAGTAATTAAAAAGAACTGAACGTGTTTATCAATATTTATAAACAAAGAATTACAAACATCTTCAATAAAATCTTTTATAATTCGGAGGTTTTGTTCCTGAGAACTACAAACTTGCTCGTAATACGTCGTTCATTATACAAGCAACGCTTAACTAAACATGTCACAATAAGATCGACGATCCTAACACCCCACACATCATTGACGTCCCACACATTGTCAACATCCTACACAATTCTCACAACCTCCACTCCCTTAGATAACGAAGATCCAACAATGTGTCATCAATGAATATTGTTAATTTAAAAAGTCGAGATGCATTTTGTGCTCTAAATTCTAAATATTGTTTGTTGCTCTCATCTACTTGTCGGTCGTTAACACAAATCGCAGCTGGATTGCGGACCACATCTTTCTTTAACGACATAAAAAAAACTACCATAATGGACTATTATAACAATAGTTGTGACAAAACTGGGCCGACACGGGAATTAGGTCCGGTTCAGATTAAATTGCTAACAAGAAAATGTAAATGTAATTTCCATCTTTTTAGAAATGCGTGTACAATAAATTTCTTGAGCTGATGTTTTTGGCAACCCAAATCAAAATCTTACGAAATGCGGTCGTTCACCTGTTCAATCGTAAAAGTAAAAGCTGTAACCGTTGTGAAACCGATATCTTATCGACCACAGTAACATTATATCAACGTTTCTTAATTAAGACGATCAGATTTCTCAATTATATTAATAGAATCGAGAAGAATCAATTTCTAAATCAATAAAATCTTATTTTCAGCGAAAATTCTATGAAGAAATTTAAAATCAACTTATTGAAGAAATTTAAAGCTTTTGATGTTTATTAATAAGAAAAAATATTGTGTAGAGATAAATTAACTAAAAAAATATAAATAAATAAAATTATTAAAACACGAGTTGTTGTTTATATTGAAATATTCTTTACAAAACGAGTTCCAAGTTCCAGCAGACGGTTATTAAAGCAGACAAAAAAATATGGAAATGTTAAGTGTGTTGTACGTTTCAAACGAAGTGGTTTACCTTCGAGTTCTTAAGAATAACGCGATGACGACGTCGAATAATCTTAACACTATCTCCAAAATAAAAAAAAAGAATCTTTTTAATCTTAACACAAAAGACATTGTTTCCTCATAATTCCTTATTAATTAATCCTTTTTTAATTAATTTATTACATCAAAACCGTTATTTACTTTTGGATCATCTAAAGATTATTTGAAAACATTAAAAATTATAAAAAATAAGAAAGTGTAACTTATTTCACTTATTTCATTTCGTTCGCGTGTATGG